GAGACGTCCAAGAGTAGATTTTTTTTTCTCTGCTCTGTTTGGTGATACATCAAGGGGTCTTGTAGGCAGAAGAACAGTATTGTTGACTACATCAAAGATTCCTGACTAGTAACAACCTTAGAAAAGAAAAAATAGTCCTACCTGGAAAATGTTCCTCAGGTATTTTTCGCTCACATCTTTGATCACACTCGTCCATGTCCTAAGAATGATTTTGGTCTCTCAGCTGACGGGCACTGGTTTCTGAACAGTGCACAAACTCTCCAGGAAGAGCAGAGCTGCCCCTGTCAGCAGGGAGCGAAGAGCACACCTGCCCTTCCCCAGAAACCACATGAGCAGGTGATGCTCCATGGCATCCCAACCTGTCCTGTGGGCTCGGGGCTGCACAGGCACAGGTCCCCAGAGCCTGAGCCCTGTCAGCAGGGAGCGAAGAGCACACCTGCCCTTCCCCAGAAACCACATGAGCAGGTGATGCTCCATGGCATCCCAAGCTCATGTGCAGAGGCTCTGCTGAGGCTTTTGTCCTCTGTGCTCACTTCATAATGGAAGGAAAACCAGCACTCAGTGCATGGCCTTTTCTGATTCAGGGAAAGTTTGAAACAAAACCAAAGGAAAAATCCAGCCTCACCCCTAAGACTGAATGAAAAATCCAGGACCTCAAAGGGATTGAACCACTTCATTCCCAGCATGTGTTTCGCATAGTCAGCAGCCTCAATGCCACAGACTTTGAGGTGCCAGAGACCTTCTCCCCAGCCCAAGCCCTGGCACAGCCACGGGTGGAGAGCAGCTCTCCCTGCCCAGGACACCCTCCACATCCTGTCCATGGTCTCCGGCCAGGAAAGGGAACTGCTGCCTCATTCTGAGCCCTCAAAGTTCCTGGAAAAGACAGGGATGAGCACATTCAGACTGCATGGCTGGGCCTGAGGCAGTCACTCCTCAGTGCTTTCCAGACTGGCCCAGCTCAGGAGTTCCAGCTCAGCTCCTCCTTCCCTCCTTGGGAATACTTCCAGCCCAAGGGTTTGACAAGCAACAAGCCAAACCTGCTGGAAGGTGTCTCACTTGTACAGAACACCAGAAGGGGAGATGCCCAGAGCCCCATCCAGCCTGGCCTAGAACACCTCCAGGCATGGAGAAGCCAAAGCTGCTCCGGGCAACCTGTGCTCACCACCCTCACAGGGAAGAATTCCCTCCCAGTATCCCATCTAACCCTGCCCTCTGCCAGTGGGAAGCCAATCTGCCTTGTCCTCTCCCTGCCAGCCCCTGTGTAAAGCTCCTCTCCAGTTCTCTTGGAGCTCCTTGGCTCTTGGGCAGCCCTCTTGGGCAGCCCAGCCCTGAGCCCAGCACTCCGGGGGTGGCCTCAGGGGTGTGGAACAGAGGGGAAGGGTCCACCCTGCCTCCACCAACTGTGACACTGCTCCTAGTGCAGCTCAGGGCACTTTTCTTCTCTTTTGCTGCAGGAGGACACTCCCAGTTCATGGGCATCCTTGTGTCCAGCAGGACCCTGCCAAACTTTACTTTTCCAACTGGATGGCCCCCAGCATATCCTGGTGCCTGTGGTTCTTCCTTACAGCATGGAATGACATGCATGTGAAACTCTGGCCAAGTGGCAAACAATTCTCACTCAGACTGATGGTCTTCAGCCACTTTCATTTTGACTCCTGGCCTGTTCTCTGTATTCACAAACTACTGGGGGCTGCTGCTTATGTTCCTCAGAGATAGTTCCCGACCTCCACTACAAGAGCAGCACTGCTCCATGCTCATTCCCAGCCTCCTCTAAGCTCTTTTGCCAATCTCTCTTTTATTCCAGTTCTCTCTTCTTCTGGGTATTTCAGCCAAATACTCGGTCCCAGGGACAACAGGTGAAACACGAATCACAGTGGTGTGCAGCATGAGAAGTCCACCCATGGTAAAATCAGTTTATTAATGAAGGTGTTAGAAAGGACTGGTCTCAGTATTGTTCCCAGGGTACATCGTTCGACTTTGTGCTGCTGATCACTATGTGTACAAGAAGGTGCATTCTGAGCAAGCTTCAGGACCATATTCAGGAAGATTTTGCAGAATTTACAACAATGATTCCTATTCCATATCTTACATGGGAAAAATGCAATGGTCCGTGCTCCCTCTCACCAGAGGCAGGTAAAGAAAAAGCAGTCCTGTTGTCAGTGACAGAGGATTTCCTCTGTCTAGGGAGCGTGCTATACTGGTGCCACATGCTGTGGGAAGGAGTACTCTGAGGGAGATAAAAGCTGGGGTGCAGAGACGATTTGAAGACTATTCTTCAAACTACATAAGCCCATATTTTGTGGACATTATGTGCAATTCCTGGGGAAGGGCTGAAACTGTGATTCCGTGAGATCCTTCCCTTCCCAGCTCAGTTTTTCCATTAATGATAACAGATCTAAGCTGAAACTTGCCCGGTCTGGATAATCCACTCATTTTACTATGAGTTTTGATCTGAGTGAGGACTTCTTGATCTTGAAAACACTCCAGAACTGGCTGAGGATGAGCAGGTTGGGGGTTGAGGGCATCATTTAAAATGAGATAATTTAGCAAGGTGAAAAGCACAATCACAACCATGGACAACAGGACATCAAATGAACAGGGAACTTCTGACCAACCTCAGATCAGAAAGGAGGAATATGGAAGAAAAAAATGTGGAAGAAGAATCAGGTTATCCAGGAGGAATGTAGAGACAGTCCTGTGGAACCAGTAGGGGAGTGTGAAGAATAGTTAGGGAGCTCTTGAGCCAGATGTCCACTAGGTCATAGGACCAGAGGGTGCTAAGGTCTGTTATATTAAAAAAATCCTGGAAATAGAGGGTGGCTTCTGAGAACTGGAAAGAACATTACACCAGTATTCAAGATGGACACAAGGGAGAGCCTGAGGAATTACAGGCTGCTCAATCCCTGGGGAAGTGATGGAACAAATTCTCCTGGATGCACTTTTAAGCAAGAGAAGGGGATTAGGAAGAGCAAGCATAGATTTACCAAGGGGAAATCATGCCTGACCAACCTGATTGGCTTGTCCAAAGTCCTTCTGCAGCTCTCCTGAAGCCCCTTTAGGCACTGGAAGGGGCTCTAAGGTCTCTCCAGAGACTTTTCTTCTCCAGCCCCAGCTCTCTCAGCCTGGCTCCCCGCAGCAGAGGTGCTCCAGCCCTCAGAGCATCTTTGTGGCCTTCTCTGGACTTGCTCCAGCAGCTTCACAACCTTCTGATGTTGGGTCCCCAGAGCTGGAGGCAGCACTGCAGGTGGGGCTCACCCGAGTGGAGCAGAGGGGCAGAATCCCCCCTCACCTGTTGCCCACAGTGCTGGGGTTGAGCCCAGGACACAAGAGTTTTCTGGGCTGCCAACACACATGGCTGGGGCATTTTGAGTTTCTCATCCACCAGCTCCCCCAAGTCCTTCTTCTCAGAGCTGCTCTCAACTCATTTTCTGCCCAACCTGTGTTTGTGCTTGGGATTGCCGTGACCCAGATGCAGGACGTTGCACTTGGCCTCATACCAACACAATCACCCTATGACTTTGGGCTAATGGCAATAACTCCAGCCTGTTGAAACTTCAAGCTCCTCTTGCTACTTTACCTGCCTCATGCCATCTCGAGTCCCCCATGCTCCCCTTGGTACCACCTCATCATCTTTGTATTGGGTTTACATGGCCAGTTTTGGGGAGCAAGGGGCTGCAGGGGTGGCCTCCATGAGAAGACACCAGAAGTTGTCTCCATGTCAGGTAGAGCCAGCTCCAGCTGGCTCCGAGATGGACCCACTGCTGGCCAAGGCTCAGCCAAGCAGTGATGTTGGTAGCACCTCTGTGGGAACATATTTTAGAGGGGGTAAAAACTGCTGCGCAACAGCAGTTGGGAGGGAGCAGAGAGATGTGAGCAATAGTCCTACAGGCACCAAGGCCAGGCAAGAAGGAGGAGGAGGAGGTGCTCCAGCACTGGAGCAGAGATTCCCCTGCAGCCTGTGGTGCAGCTCATGGTGAGGCAGAATTTTGCTGCCACAGCAGGTGGGAGAAGCCCTGAAGGGAGCTGCAGTCTGTGAAGATCCCACACTGGATTAGGCTCCTGGCAGGGGCTATGTTCTGTGGGAAGGAGTCCATGAAGGAGCAGGTTTTCCGACAGGACCTGTTGCTGCATGGGGGACCTACACTGGAGAAGTCTGTTCCTGAAGGATTGCACCCCATGGAAAGGGACCCATGCTGGTGCAGTTCTTGAAGAACATCAGCCCATGGGAAGGACCCACACTGGAGAAGTTAGTGCTGGACTGTCTCCCATGGAAGGGAACTCATGCTGGAGCTGGAGAAGTGAGGAGGAAGGAGTGACAAAGATGAAGAGTTATGAGCCGACACCAATCCACATTCCCTATCACCCTGCACTGCTCAGTGAGAGAAGGTAGAAGAGTTGGGAGTGAAGTGGAACCTGGGAAGAAGGGAGAGGTAGGGGGAAGGTGTTTTCAGGTTTGTTCTTATTTCTCGTTTTCCTATTCTGTTTAACTGGTGATAAATTAATTTCCCCAAGTCAAGCCTGTTTTGCCTGTGACAGTAATTGAGGAGTGATCTCCATGACCCATGGGACTCTCATCATAATTTCTCCCCCTGTCCTGTAAATGTGCAGTGTTGGAGCAGCTTGGTGGGCACCTGACTAGGCAAGATCAACCCACCACAGTTCTCTAAACCACTTCATCACCACCTCCACCTTTCATGCACCATCAGCTCCCCAACCCCACTGTTAGTGAAGGGACTACCAGCACTGCAACGTTCTCTACTGTACTTTATTTCCCCTCTCTCAAGACTTGCCAGTGGCACATGCTACCCTGTGACATCCAGTGGCCTGGATCCCCATCTGCCTCCAAACCACTCCTGTGAGGGCTGGACAGTCTGGAACTGCCTGTGGCAGGTCTGTGACAAGTCCATGGTAAGTGCACAGCAGGTCCACGGTGGGTCTCTGGTGGGACCATGGTGGTCCCTTGGCTCACCTGCAGTGTCCTTCTATGGGGACATCCTCACTTTCTGTGCACATGATACACCAGTGTCTCCAGCACTCTCTGTGCCCGCTTCAGGACCTCCTCCTCATCCACGCTGTGGAAGGCCTCACAGGGGGTCATGGGGTGAGGGTGGTAATTCGGGTACTGCGTGGCCTTGCCATCCACACCGTAGCCACGCAACCACTGCACGTCTGGCACCAGGACCCTCAGCTCTGGCTCCTGTGCCTCCAGCCATTGGGCCAGCTCCATCAGCCCCACTGGACCCTCAAAGGCCTCACCACGGCAAAGTACGGCAGCCACCATCGCCTTCTCCAGCGCCTGGTGCACTTTGAAGAGGACCCAGTTGGGGCAGCATCGTGCTATGTCATTGTGGGCTGCCTGCAGGTCACTCGTGGCTTGCTGCAGCCACCGCAACACTGCTCAGCCAGGAGCTGTGACCTCCCTGTCCCCCGCCGTGGTGCTGGGCAGTGGTTGCAGGTTTGGACTGGACACAGAGCTCCTGCAACATCTTTGGCTGCCTGGGAGCATGGAGTTGCCTCGAGGTTGCCAGGCTGGGACCCACATTCACCTTCCATGTCTTCTCTGCCACAGCCCGCAGCCTTTTCAGCCCCTGCAGCTGGTGCACATCACCTGCCAGTGCCACATTGTTCTCCTCTAGAACAATGGCCACATCCTGTGGCTCCTGGCAGATCAGCATTTCACGCAGCACAGACAAGGCAGGTGCCCCCAGCTGTCCACCCAGGATGTTATTTATCTCCTGTGTTATCTTCTCCAGGATCCTCAGCTGGTGCCGGCTCAGGTCCCTCTCTGCATGTCGGATGTAGAGGAGCCGCTGAGCACCACCAGACGGGCACACATGGATGACCTGTGACTGGGAGCTGCCCTCCACCCTTGCACCATCGTGGACCAGCACAGTGCGGATGTCTTTGCAGCATTGCACTTTCAGCAGCTCCACTGCAACAACACCATCCCGCTCTGTTCCTGTCATGGCCTTCTGGCTGTGCCACTGGAGCAGGGACTCCAGCCCTATCCTAAACCACAGTGATACAAGGAGGGTCTGCAGACGCCTCTGCCCAGGGCAGTGAGAGCCATAGTGGCATGGCTGCAGACCACCCTCCTCCAGCAGCTGCTCTGTCACCTTTGAGAGTACTCGTGGCTGCAGGTGCAGTGGCAGCATTTCCAACAGCCATCTGGCATTACACCCGGTCACCGGCAGGTCAGCCATGAACACAAAGGTCTTCTCCAAGGACTGAGCAGTCTCTGAGGGCAGGCAGTCATTGAAATACAGCCTGTGGGATGGCTCTAGGCGGTCAGCAGTGCTCATCAGGTACAGCTCAGTCACAGAGGAGCAATCAGGGGTCTCTTGTGCCTGCTGCAGCAGCTGGAAGAAGTGCCTTGTGGCCAGCAGGACTGTCTTCTTTTGGGTATTAGTAAGAGTCCAACTGACACGGCTTTCCTTGTAGATTTGGGCCAGGACATGGCTGTAGTGAGTCAGTGTGGGGAGTGCAACCACCCCAAGGTGTTGCAGGAGGTCTCCAAAAACAGCCGTGTGGCGGTCAGGCATGAAGAGGTAGGGGCAAAAGTCAGCCTCATCTGGGAGTGATGTCACCACTTGGCATGGCCTGGCCATGTCCCCTGACTTGGCCAGCACCACAGGCAGCTCAGCAAGGCTCTCTGCATCCACCTCCGTCAGATGGGTCTGCAAGAATTTGTACACCTTCTGGAGCACTCTGGCCCGTGTGTTCACCTGCTCTGGTGAATTGCAGGCTGCCCTGCACACATGCTTCAGGTTGGACACCACCAGAGCGGTGGGTATCTTTGTAAGGACTCCCATGGCCTCCAGGGGCTTCTTCTCAGATTTGAAGGACTTTGGCAGGATGGTGGCTGATGTCCAAAGCAGCTCAGCTGCATTTTGGCAGTGGTAAATGCTGCCTTTCAGAGCAACAGGCTTAGTGCAGTCTGCGAAAGGGAGGTGGAGGTTTATCAACTCTGGGGGGATGTCCAGTGGAGGCAGGAAGTGGATTGAAGCAATTTTCCCCAGGAAGTCCTTTGACTCAAGATTTTTCAGCAAGGTTTCAAGCTGCTTGAGCATCTCCTGCTGTCGCTTCAGCAGATCTGCAGCATGGCACGTAGCCTGAGCAGCTTCATGCTCTATCTCCTGGGCCAGTGCTACAAAATCCTCTTCAGAGAGGCTGGTCTGGACACCTGCCTGAAGCAGGAAATTTTTAGCTTCCCCATTCTTATCTAGCTCCTTAAAGAAATATTCAGGCACAAAGCGGTGTTGGAGCCGCAGAGTGCAGAAGGAGTCTGTGTTGTCATAGAAGTAGGAGGCCAGACGCAGCTTACCATGGACATCAGGTATAAAGGCCACATTTTGAAAAGCTTCCATAATGGCTTTTTGGGTCTGAGGGTCATAGCTGGGTCTCAGGACAAAGAACAAGCGCAGAGCTTTCATAAGGTAGTGCTGTGTGAGCTGAGACAGCCGGGGCAGCACCATGGCCCTGAAGAGCTTTAGATCATCTGTGAGCTTCCACATCAAGTCCTTGGCCAGCTGCTGGTGGATCCGGTCTGCTGTGAGCAGCACCGTGTTTCTGTCCAGGTTGTACAAATCTTGGGTACCCGGGGGTACTTCTAGGGTGCCTCTGCAGAGCAACAGGACCTTGCAGTAGGGAGCCACAGCTACATAGCCCCCACCAAACTTCTGGAACAGAGGCAGGTGCTGGAGCTGATCCAGTCCAGATGAAGCCAGGTTTCCCTGCACAAAGTGCAGCAGGGTAGTCACATCCTTCTCCTTTAAGTCCTCCCAACGGAGCTGATCTTTGGTGCCTGCCAGATGGGCCACTACAACCCCAGGATCTGTGACCTGCAGTGCCATTGGCTTCAGACAGCGATGGGCAAATGCAGAGACTGACAGGAACCTCTGGAGCACAGGGATGCCGAGCTTGTGCAGCACCTTTTCCACTTCTGTGTGACACTCATAAAGAACCCTGGAGAGGGAGGATAGTGGCAGTAGGTGATTCGAGTCTGTCTTATTCCCCTGAACAGGCAGCACTGCCATGTCCTGGAGATGATCCATGAATGACTTCATGTTTTCTTTCAGTTTCTCTGTGGTCATCATGGGTTTGCAGACCACAGCACGAAAGAACTCCCACAGCTTCTTGAGCCACTCTTGCCACTTCGTGGACCAGTCCAACTGACCCAGTGCCTCCTGGATGAGTGGTGCGGCCTCTGAGAGGTCAAGCTCCTTCACAAAACAAGGTGGGGCACAATCAGAAATCAATTCGCAGGCAAAGAGGTGGCCATGGTCAGGAAAAAGATGGGAAAAGGAGTCCTTGAAGACTATGTGGTGGCTGCTGAGGGCATTCAGGTAACCATCTTGTGTGGCCAGCAATGGCAGGCCTTCCAGTTCTGCCTTGTCCACATCCATGGGCTGCAC